GACAAGCTCTCGGGCCCGCCAAGGAGACCATCACGATTAAACACCCCCCCCCCCTCTGCCCCTCATCATCCTCCTCTCAACACACACATATATACGCGCTTCTTACAGGACATAAACAACCAAAAGAAATCTCCGCAAGAGTTTCACGCCGCGGAAATGTGAGGCCAATACAGATTAGATTTTGGGGTCGTTCTGATGAAATCACTCCGCCGCGCATCTCCAAATGTGGCACACATTGTCTCTGTGAAACATTTTCGTGGGGACAAAGTGTCATCCCATTATCCATAAATCCGCTTTTATGAAAAACGCGCGGCCTGTCGGTGCGTATTGTTTCCCACCACAGAGCAGATGGGGGAGAGAGAGAGAGCGAGCCCGACAACCGAAACAAACATAAACGCCTCTAAAGCCCTCTGTACCACACCGCCCGTTCTTTTTACTTTACTTTTTTTTTACAGCACACCAGACATGTCTACTACTACTCTACTCGGATTAAAGCGCCATTAGGACAGAGAGCTGATATATCTACACTAATAGGCCAACCGTCACCCACCTTTGTCATCTCGAGCTGTATGGAGTGCGGTGATTTCTCTCCCTGGACTGCTCCGTTCCGGAGCCGGCTGACTGCTGCCTGTCCCCCCCACCTCCCTGCTTCCTCTCCTCCTCCTCCCTTTCTCTTCTTCTGCTTCTTCTTTTCTTCTTCTCTCTTTTTCTCGTTCCTCTCTCTCGCCTACAGCTGCTCTCCTCATCGTTTGCGATTGTTCAGTTCGCATTCAGTGAGTCACGATCCGGCTGTCTTCTTCATCAGAGGCCTCGCGACTCCTCGGCAACAAACGGAGACTGGGCCTATCTCTCTCTCTCTCTCACTCCTCTCTCTCTCTCCTCTCTCTCGCTCTTCAGCCAATGCGCGCGCGTTGTGCCTGTATGCGGATGCGTGCTGCTGGCTGGCGGCTGGCACACCGCACGCACGCACACAGCAAGCACACATAAGTTCCTCTCTCTCACACACACCACACACACACACACATATGAGCACATTAACGTGCATGGACAATCCTAACGGAAGCAACTATGCCCATAATGTAGCTCTGTAATCCAGGTGGTCTCTTGTGATATTCGATGATATTGCCGTAATTACTCATAATGAGTGATAGCTTTAATACTAGTTGTTACCTTCTTGCTTCCACACTGAGCTTCATCTATCATGCCAATAAGGTTCATTTGAATTTGAACTGGAACTTGATAGCTGACTGATATGTAAATCCACAGCAGGCAGGGGTACATTTTAGTGATTAGTGGGCCCTAGGCTAAACCAATGGGGCCTCCCTCATGCATTATTCTCACCCTTTTCCTAACAGAGAATGTTATTGCATTAATGAGGATACCGATTGCAAACAGTTCTAACCCTGTGCTCAAGGGTTATTGGATGGTTGTCTTATAAAAGTGATAAAAAGATGGTGAAGATCAGTTACTTATCGATGGTAGTAATTGTCAGCCTGTGAAAACCAACAAATCAAATTAGATAATAATAAAATAATGAGATACGTTGTTTATAACTGCCCTGAATCCAGCAGTGGAAGAAGTACTTTTACAAGAAGGACCGGTGTGAAGGATCTAGTGGCCTCTAGAGGTGAGGTTACAGATTGCAACCAACTGAATACTCCTCCACTCACTCCTCCCTTTCCCTGTGTGTAGGAGAACCTATGGTGGTCTTCATAAAAACATAGACCCAGTGTTTGGTGCAATATGAAAGGCTCCTTCTAGGGTAATGAAAGTGTGAAAAGTACATAATTTAAAGTGTCAAAAGTAAAATTACTCATTATGCAGAATGGTCCATTTCAGAATAAGGCATGTTATATTATTGGTAGAAGTAGAAGTACAAAGTAGCATAAAATGGACCTCAAAATTGTACTTAAATACACTCCAATCTCGTCCCTCTGTGGTCTCTTTAACGTCAGCTGACTTCCTGTTGTGCTCCCAACAACAGTCATAATTCCTACATCCCCTGGAGGGCTTCGTCACTTTAGTGTAAACAAATGAAGTTGAGGAAATGACACTTGATGATCTTGGTTTAGACTTGAGACTGCTTGGAGTTTGAAAGATGTGGGCAGAAAGGGTCTAATGAAAAGATGATTTTAGTTGCATTATGGGAAATGAGGGATCCAGTGTTTTCAGTCTTCCTTTTTAAAAATATGTCTCTCGGGAGTCCTCCAAATTCATGGGAGGGCAATGATAATTTGTTCTAGCGCCCCTTTAATGGCCTCTTGCAGGGGTATCCTGGTGGCTTAGGGGCTTAAGAGACTATCCCCAACTTCCCCAATCCAAGCTCGGCTAAAGATTTTTGTTGCATGTCATTCCATATCTCCTCATATCCATTTAGTTCTACACTGTAAACTATCTAACAAAAGGCTAAATACTTTTAAAAAAGGAATATTGTTGTTGGGCCCTAGTTTAATATATATACATTTTGCCATTTTTGTATGGATTTCTGTATGTTATTCCTAAACTGATTCATAGTGTGGTACATTTTACTTTATTGTACTTCATGGTTTTTTTTATTATTATTACTTTCTGCAGTTCTAGTGGAGACTAATAAGAGAACCGGAGTCACTGGTAGCCTACTTAAAAGACAATTTATAGCTGGTGACCTTATTGTGATTTCTAGCTTTTACCTCTTATTAAAGCCCATACTCTTTGATGTCATATTGTACTGCATCCCTCTATAATTGCTCGATGTTTTTTCAGCGGGGCTAAGGATGCTTGCTGGATCGTAACAGACGGATTGTTTGAGTAATGATCATGGACTCTGGGGTGTAATGATTAAATGAGGTATTGTGTTTGGTAGCCATACTGCAGCATATTGCATCCTCCATATGGGTCATTATTCCAGGGAGGAACAGTGGACTTTGATTAGGCAATGCTGTCTCTTCTTCCTATTGATCCTCTCTGTGATGAGCTGTAGAGTTTGTCCATAGCTTGTTAAACACCCAGCTGGCATTATAATTAATAGTTTTTAGCTTCTGGGTCAGCAATAATGCATGGTGCCACTGTGCTGAATGGACAATATTTGTTTAAGGGGCTATTTTCTGATTGATTGGATGCTTTGTTTTTCCTCTGCTTGTTTTGTGGTCTGTGAGTGATATAATTGGAAAATGCAGTGAGAGACATTTTTAAAAAATTAAGTCTATGATTTTCTTTTCCCTTCAATGTAATATGTTTACTGTACAGAGCAAGTAATCTTTTCTTTTTCACATGAAAATTACTTTACTAGACAGGTATTTATCCAAAAAGCAATCCAGTTTCAAAGACAGCTCTAATAAGTCAACCCGTCCTCCTGAAAACCAGCATGGTAATATGTTAAGATTCACAATCCGTCTCTACTCTTCCCTATAATTACTTTTATTGACTTCATCCACACGGGAATCAGGCAAACATGAAATGAGGGAAAGTGTAGACGTGACTTTATGTGCACAACAAACAGTATTTGCTATAGTTATTTTCCAGTAATGTGTCTTATCTTGAACTATATTCATTTATATGAGCAATCTTTAAGCAGAGTTTCATTAATTGTAGAAGTATTTTATGATTATTTTGGTTTAAAAGCTTCTTGTGCTCTGGGACCAACAAAATACTCTGTTCAATTTCACTACAATATAACAAAAGTCAAAGCAAATCTCCATTATTTTCCAGTGTTACAGACCTGTCTTCTTATTTTTTCTCCCCCTAAAGTTTGAAAAGAAGTGAAACCAGGACAAAGTCACACACCGTGCCTTTTTACAAACATGGCCTCTGCTCCCTGTACAGCCTGCAGAGGCGGGGGGCTCTGCTGCTAGACGCCGTCCCCTGGACACGCTTGGCTTCATCTTCCATTTGAGCTGTCAGGGTGCAATCAGCAGACATGGAGAGCACTCTGACTGGGCTGTGACATTACTCTGACCTCTGCGGGGTCCCTCACACCACTAACAGGCCCCGCCACTCCTCCTCTTGGGAGCTGAATAATTCAACGTCATGAGGTTGTGGACGGTTTAGCCAGTAAAGCCCGGACAGTGTCAGTGGTTTGATTCCCTTTGAGATCAGCAAAACTATAAAAAAGGATCACACATGTGGGGTTGTGAGGGGCACTGAATATGCAAAAACTGTTTTAACTGTCTGTCATTGAATTGTATTGCCCTCTGCAATGTCAGTAAAGAACTATTTGTTAAATTTTAAGGTTTTTTGGGATATACTTGAAAAAGAAACCTACAATGTGTGGAAACAACTATTTCAATACAAAACATTTGGCATTAGGTTTTCTGTGAAAGGCTTCAAGAATATACATAACAAATGGGATACTCTTTAGGGGGGAGTGTTTTGCCTCTGGTGAGAGACAATATGTTAAAAGGAGTTTGTTGTTTTGTTTTTATTGTCAGCATCCATGTGAATGTGAAAAAAGAAACTACTGCTAAAGACGTGACCAATCAGCTGTTTTACTCTTGTGTAACAACTTCAAAACAAATGCATACAAATTGAAAATCATCACCTTTAAAGAGCAATTCAGTATTTCCTCTAATAACTCACAAGAGATAGATTGTGGTCAACATCAAAGCAGAGGCCGAGGTGCCGGTGTGAGGAGAGTAACTTCCGAAATTGTGTCTCTGCTCTTTGCAGATGATGTGGTTCAGTTGGCTTCATCAGACCGTAGTCTTCAGCAAGCACTGGGGCAGTTTGCAGCCGAGCCTGAAATGGCCAGGGTGAGAGTCAGCACCTCCAAGGTCTGAGGCCATGGTTCTCTGCTGGAAAACAGTGGATTGCTCCCTGGGAGTAAGCTGCTGCCCCAAGCAAAGAAAGTATCCCGGGATCTTGTTCACGAGTGATGGTATAATGGAGCGTGAGATTGACAGGTGGATTGGTGGAGTCCTCAGCCTTGAAAGTAAGGTGGAAAAAGAATGAAAACCATAGTACACCAGTGATTTAGTATTTCACTTCAATAACTCACATGAGACAATTCTCATAATGCTCTGAAAGTGTCGTTCATTATCTACCCAAGAGAACAAGAAGGAACACATTTGTTCATGATACACCTGTCCTTAGATCTCTCACTATGAGGTCAGTTTAGTAAGTGTTCTGGACATTTTGATCAATGATCTTCCTCAGAAGACAGAGCTCCACCAGTTGTCATAGAATTGCACTGTATATAATCACATTTTAATCTTTCTGAACAGCCCTCTTGTCTATGTTGGCTTTAAAGCTGAGGGTCAGAGTTCATTAATGACCTTGGACACAGTCATTCACAAAGCAATGACACCACAAAGTTCGTTTAGGGAGCTTTTCAGAAGCTGGATGTTGAAATTTGGAACTGTATATTGCAGTTATATGCTATAAGAACAATAATCCAGTATGAACCTCTTTAAAAGGTCATCTGTCACAGTCTTTCTGGTTACAGCAAGGGTAAATCAAAATGAATCAAATGAAGCTAATTGTGTTTCTTATGGTCCTAAAGCTGCTTGAATACTGAATTAATTAGAAGTTCACCAACATTACCATTGTCTTAAAGCATCAGAACAGCAACAGCGACAGAAAACACTCCCTGTCTCTTTAATTAACTTGATCTGGTTTTGCATTATGTGTTTGCAATTGGATTTGATTGCTTCAGATGTTTTATTCTTTTCTCTCAGAATAAAGTGACGCTTCCTCTGCTTCTTTGCATTGGTCACCGAAACAAGAGCTGCTTCACCTTCTTGAAGTTTTTAATAAGAAAATATAACGGCCTCCAGGTCAGTGCTAATGGGGTGGAGGACAGGGGCTCATTTACATAGTACAGAGAAAACCTCTACTGTTCCACACAGGGCTGTCAACACTTCCTGTCAGCACTGCCGCACACTGCCCTCCGAACACACACACATTCCTCTTTGTCAACTTCTTTCTTTTGCCGTCGTTTCTCATTTACCTCTTCTTCCCCTTTCCCATTTGCTCCCTTCATCACTCTGTCCCTCCTCTTTCCACCCTTCTTTCACCCTCTGAATCCACTGTGGACAGTGTCCGTGTACTGATTAGGTTTCACTCTGCTTTCTAGCTCTATGCTCTCTCTGTTTCTCTCTCTCTCTCGCTCTCTCTCTTGTGTGTGTGTGTGTTTCTGTACGTATATATGTGTGTTAATGAAATCCCCCCTCCCTTGGGCTCAGGTGTCACGGCAGCTCTAACTCCACTCCTTTGAACGGAGAGCTCAGCGCTGTGGATCAACATGAGGGCATAGGTTTTAGACAGTTTCCCATGTATCGAATAAATTAACTGCTGCTGTGTGGGCGATATGTGTGCGAGACGGAGAGGAAAACACTCACACAAAAGGTGGTTCTTATGTGTTTTTGAGCCTGGTGCACACTGGCTCAGCCCTCTTAAAGCCTGTGGTCATATTACTAAGCACGGGGTCAAAGGTCATAGCGAATGAGCCACCATGATACAAAAGGAACAGTGTTCTAACTGAGATGCCACTCAGCTTTCTTCTGTGTAAAACATCGGCCCCTCTGTGTTGTTTTGATGTAATGACGGCTGTGTTTCTGGAGCGACACACAACTGTGGATGAGTGCACGTGCGCGGTAGCTGAATATGTGTCACTCTCCTTACTTATCATCCCAAATTTAGTTGGAAGAGGTTTGATTTAGAAGCTTTTATTTTAGACTTTGCGACCCAGATTTTTTTTTATGCCACATCACGGTCATCTGCCATCTCCTGTGGCTTATCTCCACTATCAAAAAAGATGCCAAGAGGTATGATAGGGACGTGAACACACATACACACACACACACACACACACACACACTGGTCTCCTCTGAGCCTCTAACAACCTGAGAAGCAGTCATCAGTTTAGTGGTGGTCTCTCCCATAGCTTTAATCTGCAGATCAACTTTGTAATAATAATCTATACACATTATGAAATTGAATTGAAGGCCACCACAATCATTATTGTACATACGCTACAATATTGTGTGTCCAGATAATCCCCTCCTCCTACAGTCCGACCCTGATATCACAGGCTATTTCTGCAAGTGCTCCTATGTGCGCATATACCTGCAGCATCTTCATATTAGTGCTTTGTACGATTTGGCCCTTTTATAAGGCTGATACATTACTGATTACCATTTTAGTACTTAAATGTGTTTCCCAAACATAAAGACCGCTATTGGTATGAAAATCTGCTTTTCAGAGATTTAACACGTAGGTGGTAGATGATATAAACCTTCAGGTGATAATCAGTCATCAGAGATATTGTATAATAATGAGCAGGACCGCAATATGGTAATATTTGATTTCTGCATCAAGATCATAAAGTAACTCGATTTTTTAGGTATGTTTAGGTATGTAGGTTCCTGTCTGGTTAGTTTACTATTAATGGTAATTTTTTTGCACTATTTCACAGTATATACTGATATAAAATTATTTATACCACAGTATAAGATTTACCAGCCAGTAATCCATCACAATAAACATTACAGCTATTCTGCTGATGTTGTCAAAGTTATGTTATTATTGAATTGTTTGTGCAGATTAGATTCTACTAAATTATGATAAAAAAGAGTATAAAACACAGTTTCTGTTGATCATCTGTTGAAAACCACATATCTAAGAAGTTTTTCTGTTTTTTTAGATTAGGTATATTCATTTCATTATTTAAAAAAGTAATATCAACAAACTTAAAACAAGGCTGTTTTCTTGGTTCCTGTGCTAACATTTTGGAGGTTTTTGAATCTGCATACTACTACTGCATTATTAATGATTAAGTATTGTTGCAACCAGCAGTTACATTTAATGAACTAGTCAGTATAATATGAGGTTACTTTACTAGAGTAGTTGTGCCTTAGTGCCACTTTAAACTTCTACTCCACTGTATTTGAAATTCCACCATTTTTACTCCACTACATTTCCTCAGGAGCTTACTTACCAGTGACTTTGCATATTAAGAGTTTAAATATACTATAAAACATATCCTCATATTATAAAATGTGATGCATTGTTATAGATTAACCTATCCAGCTGTATATAAAGAAGTTGAAATTAGCTCCAGGTTGACAATTTTGGATGCTTTAAGTTTTGATAATAATACTTCTGCATTATTACTGTTTTTTGTAGCAAATTTAGTCCTGATTTCAACCAGTGGACCAGAGGAAAAGACCCCATTGCTCTTTTCCAAGTCCAAAAATAAGACTGCAGTTTCAGGCAGTCGACGCGTGGCGGCGGTAACGTGCGCCTAGCGTCACTATGACCTCACAAACATGGCGGCGGCTGTAAGGAGGTACAGTCGGTTCGTTTCCGTCTCTAGAAAAGTGGGAAGTTGTTTGTTTAATTCAGTTTTCACCGCTCAGGCGGCGGCGTGCGCTACCAACATGGACTCAGAGAGACCGACCAAGGTTCGAGAGTGACTTTGTCGTGTTTTAGACTCACGTTTTGCTGTGTCATGACTTGATTTTTACCCGTAATAATATTGTCCAAACAGCAAAATGCGTTATTCTGCTGCTTTTGTGATGCATGTGCTGATCTATTACTGCGCAGTTTGATAACCGAGGCCAAGTTGAACTACAGAGCAATATGATTAGCTACAGGTGTTTGTATTTTTGCCTCCACAGCTGGAGTTTGCGGTGCAGATGACCTGTGAGAGCTGCGCAGATAAAGTCAGAGCTGCTCTGGAGGATAAACCAGGTAAAAGAAAGCGTGCAAAGGTTCCCAACAAGAAACAGTTCCCTGTGCAGTAAAAGGCTGTCTGTCATCTGCAGAAGACAGCTCTGTTTAACGGTGGTCTGTAGCTGCTCTTATTCCTAGTAAGTTCACACAGCTGAGGACCATGACACAGCAGATAACTGAACACTCAGCCTTATCTGCCTCTTGGTTATGGCTGCCCTTCCTGTACACAGTGTAGATGTTAGTATGTAATGCAGTATATGTCAGTGTAGAGGCAGGTTTATCTATATAGCACATTTCATGACAAGACTATTGATAATGCTTTTGTAGATTTTCTCAAAGGAACTATGTAATTTGGCAGAAATGATAGCCTAAATAGAGACATTTATTTATTATTTACGTGTTTGTTTATTTGACAGGGACAGTACGCTGCTACTAGATGCACCAAAATGAGCTGTGGACTGATTTACGTCTGTATATCCACAACACTGTAACATAAAAACACAATTTACAACATATTACTATACCTATTGTACACATTCACTATACAACATAAACATCAGCGGCAGTGTTTTTACAGCATTGAAATGCCCCAACAACAACAACAACAGCAGCAACATTTTAGAGACACTTCCAGTTCATTTATTCAAATTAAATCTAGTGTAACCAAAAGACTTTAAGTTGAAGCTGAACATGCAACAGTGTGAATATGTCTACAGGCAAGATTGCAAAACATATGTCAGCAACTGTTTTTCAACTTATTGTTTCTAAGAAAAATAGCAAAACACTGGCTCAGAAACTACTCATAAGTGAGTTCAGTTTATTTTGAAAGTGGACACATTGATACAGCATGAAACAGAAAAGCAGCATGATCCACATCTGAGTTTTAAAGGGGGAAAGTTTGTCATTTTGCTTAATTAATGGCTTACACCTTTAATTTTACATTATCAAAATGTCGGCATCACTGTTTGTGTTTCAGTCCGCATGTGTGTAATTTCTCTGCCTGCTCGTGTGTCTGTCAGCTGACCATTTTCATCGCCGTTAACGTGTCTGCAGGAGTGAAGTCTGTCAGTATCGATGTCAGTAAAGAGAAGGTGTTGGTGGAATCTGCTCTGACAAGTGCCGAGGTGCAGGCTCTGATAGAGAGCACTGGACGCAGGGCCGTGCTGAAAGGCATCGGTGGATC